TAATATTGTTCTTTGAGGAAAAATATCTCTGACTTGAGCTTATACATTTTGCCATAGTTCAGCCAATAACTAAACAGCTCACCCTAAATGCTCTATACATCATTATAGAGTCGCTTTTCTACAGCTGCAGCAGGGAAGCAGATCTGAATTTATGGGACAATAGAATCTGCTAGTTATAGGGAAAACAAGGAAAAAAACTTGTTAAAGGCTCTATGTTACCTGAAACTGCAAATAGATTCCGAAACAATGAACCTACAAGATGGTTTAGATAAAATATGCATAAATTAGAAAGGCCTATTCAAAGCCCAGATATAAATCCACTCTATAATGAGAGTAATGTCTGTTGTTGCACTCTCTCAATTTGGCCTTGCAGGTGCTATTAAAAATTTGAGTTTTAGAACTTGCAGCTCTAACTTCAGTGAATCCGGGTGAATTGATGCAAAATCACACCATCCTTCTCTGTTGCAACAGCTCTGCTAGCCAGGTACCTGCTGGCAGCCGTCCTGAGTATGATTATGTAAGCAAGACCACAGAGATGACCTTAGCAGGCTGACACATCCTGTTCTGCCCTTTTCTGTTTCCTGCAGAGCGCTAATGTCAAAGAACAGTGGGGTGAGTGGACATGACATGGAGGGCTCAGGTGGTGAATACATCCTGTGTGAATTATCACAGTTTTAGCTGAACAAGGAGTATCCACCACTAACCCTGACCTTCAGACTGGATTGCACAGGATCTGGAGCTCACAGGGTTCCCAAACCTTTTACTGCTAACCTTAGGAATCACAAGATGTGTTTAAGTCAGAGGAGAAGAATGCTATTTGTCGGCCAGATGTAAAGATGATTGTTATACTTCATTTAAGATTTCAAATCCCATCAGAGAAGAAATGTGGGACACTGGGATTAGTGTTTAAGTTCATAACTCAGAATCTCATAGGACTTGTACATACAGTATAAGTAATACCTCATATGTTATATTTGCATGTATTAACTCCCTTCCGGACCTGTGTTGTAATTCACTCCATGATTCCTGGCTGATGGAATATTTATGTTTGGACTAAGGATGGGAACCTTAAACAGGTCAGGGCAGAAACTGATTTGGAAGTTCTTAGATAATAAAAGAGAATTGTAATATATTTATGCTGAGGTTTTTATGTTACGTTCTGTGAACCCTGTTTTGGAAGTGTGTCTGTGTTTTAGGAAAGAGTTCGATTCATTCCTAAACTTTCCTTTAGTTGCCTGTAGCTTCTAGGACTTGGAGATAAATCAAAAAGCACCAATCAATCAAGCAGTATTTGCAGCCATCCACAGAGAAAACCGTATGTTAAATTATGCTCCATTCTTTAGAAAAAGTACTCCATGCATAACAGTAAACTTTTACTTGTTGTATCACACTGAGTAAAACATTGTTGAAATGTTCTATTAAAAAAGGAGTCATTTTCAAGAAAATAATTACTTACAATCTTGATTAAAACTCCTATTTACAGTAAGTGTAAATGGGATCAGTAGCAAATATTAAAACATGTAGCTTATTTTCTCAAAATGTCTCTTCCTGAGCGACATCCTTCCACTCTCTCCCCGCTTGTTTGTTTTTCTCTTTTCCATTTATTGTGAATGACCTAATACCATTTATCAAGCAGAGCAGCTCATAAGGTACTGCTGTCATTATGGGCCTATTTTTCTGGCATGCATGCCTCTTACTTTTTCCAGCACTGAATAAAAACGATATTTGAATATATGGGACAACATCTGCCCCTTAAAAAAGTTGGGAGATGGACTCTCTTCTCTGACTCCTTTATTAGATCCTGGCACTTATTTTGCCTTCTGGTTATTGGTCTCTGCGTCCTCACATCGCTCATGCTTTCCAGGCTTTTGCAAAGATGGATCTTCAACTTGATATTTGAAACCAAGAGTTGTATCCTCTCTGTACCTCAAGGGAGCATGGTTTCCCCCCCGGAAGATCGTGCTAAACCGAGGGAATGTCAAAAGAAAAGAAATTGCAGCAGTTCACCATGACTCCAATAACTTACTGGAAAGAGCAAGGCAGGTATTCCAATAAAATTCAGATTAATGTTGCAGTGAAGGCAATTTAAGCGGGAGTTTTTATTCAGACCTGAAAATGATTAAGTGCACTGATTACTGGAGTCTATCTTGAGTTAGTTAGAAAGACTGAACCGGACGGTCAATGGGATTAGTCAGCTTCAGGAAAAACATGACAACTAACACAGTCATTGTGGTGGTATTTGTGATTCAGGAACACTGTCTGCTCCTTGCAGCATTGAGCCTCCAGTCCGGTCTTCTTGTATTTACCCCAGACCCATGACTCAGTACACAAATATGTCCTGTGAGTCAAGAACAAAGAAAACATATGCATAGCAACTGTGCACTCTCCAGAGATCTTGTATTGATTAGAAGATTTACTATGACTTGGGGATAATTGTTTTGGGAAGGAGGATGTAGAAAATGAGTTTTTGTGAAGTGGGTGCCAAAATATTCAGCTGAGTTTCACTGAGCTACCACAAACACGTGGGTGCTTTGCCATCATCATTCCACAACACCAGCAAGGGCTCAAAATGACATAAGAACTTTGCTAATTAGCCAGAGAGTCATCATAAATGTCAAATATGATTGAAAATTAGTAAATTATGATCTCACTACCCAAGTACATTTTGGCATTTAAACAACTGGAAAAGCAATAGGCCTAGTTCCAAAATAGAGTCAAAATTGACAAGATAAGTCCAGACTTGCAAGCAATATGAATCCATCAAAATACCCCCGGAATCAATTACTCGGTTTTTCCTTGATCGGAAATACAGCTCTGAACGTGGAAAAGTCATTAATCAAACCAAAAAAAGCAATTTTCAACAAGACTATATCTTTAACAGTCAGACATGAAGGCCAAGGAGCTATTAAGCTTGTCTGATCAGCAGTCTATAGAGAATATGCTGACCACGATGAAAGAGACCTTTGTCTGGACAATTATTAGTAAAAAAATAAATACAAAAAACTGAAGCAGTTAAAAACTCAAGCATTATGAGATAATAAGTCTGTCTGGTAAGGCATTAAAGTTTCCTAAATTTCATAAATTAAAGCTGAGAAAAATTCACAAATTGTTTTGTTTTTAAGCAGCTAAGGATTGCTTGCTTTATATAGCTTTTTAATTTTATTTTAAGTGTAAGATGGCAAGATGAAAATGGCATTTCTTAACATTTTCTTTCAACAATGACTTTTTTTTCCTGTCATTTTTTAAAAGGTTGGATCCACCCTGAGCGCTCTCAGGCCATTCAGCAACCCAATACTTTAACTCAATGAAGAATGAAAGTTTGCTAATCACATTATCAGCAGGGTGTAAGAAATGAAGTAATATATATCATATATAAAAAGCAGTATAAAAAGGTTACTGAAACTTCAACAACTTCACTAGAAATATATTTTCTTATCTCTTCTTTCTAGTAAAGATTTTCTGAATAAGCACAGACTAGAATAATTTCAGTATGGATCTAAATTGTCCAGGAAACAGTCATGGAGACTGTTTTTTTATTTATTTTTCAAAGATAGCTGTGGCAATGTCGTCATTAGATCCCATGCAGTTTGCTTCCCGTCTTGGCATTAGTTGATGAATGCCTCTGCCTGCTGCATTGATCTCTCATCCAACTGGAGAAGCTTGAAAGCATTAAGGATCACTGTCAATCCTTTCAATACTTTCAGTGTTTTTAGCATTAAATACAACAGGACTACCAGAAGTGGACTACCATCTGTACTAATGGATACTAATTACCTCACTAGTCATCAGCAGTATGAGGACATGCGGCTATGTTTCCTTTGACAGGTTGGTCTGCAGCAGGGGAGAACCACAGGGAACTGTTCTGGCACCACTGCTGTTTACTGCCACCTTCAGAAGTTCTCGAATTACTCTGTCATATTGGGTCTCATGATAGGTAAGGATGAATCAAACAATTCAGGCAGCTGACTCTGCACTTATAGGTGGTATGAGATAGAGGAACAGTAAGAAAAATAACACTTTAATATCACTATTTGAAAATGTCTCCCACCCAATGCTGTTTGAAGCTCCTGTAAAACCTGCAGGCTCCTTCAGTAAAACACAGATGCACGCTAGAGGCAAAAAAAAGTACTTCTGCAGATCCCATTGCTGCTGTTAGACATTATAACCTTCCCTGCTAACTACAAGTCTAATAAGTGTTTACAGCCATGGTATATTAGCACAGTTTCTAATCTGCTCAATATATGTTCTGTTCTGCACAGATGTTAATGACTGTTTGCAACTGCTTTTTTTTTTTTTTTACCTGCTCTGGAAGTGTTTTCAACAACTATGTTTATCTGTGCAGCTTCTCTATCTCCCAGTAAACTGGCTCTTGTTTTTTCCTTTGTTATTTGAGTGTGCCCTTTTATAAATATAGTGTTTTTCTTTTTTTTTCCTTCTGGGATATGTTTTTGTCTTCTGCGGTAGAATTTAATTCTAAAATCTTTTCATACTTGTCTTGTTTGTACCTGTAAGCTTCATTTTTCCAATGCTAGAAATCTTAAAGGCTTATCTGTAATTTGTAAAAATCAACACAAGCGGATCATGTCTGCAAGCGTCCTTTAGTACTAGTAGATCAAAAATCTCTCCTTTCATAGGGTATATGTTGTTTTTTAGCATGCCTTGTATACAAAGTTATTGTAGCTAGAAAAATAAACATATTTTCCAAAATAAGAAGAAATTTCATGTTGAAACATATTGTTCGTTGTTTTTTGTGTGATCAAAAGGAATCCATACCGATTATGTTCAGCCAATTTCAGCAATAAAAAAATTTTTGATTTTAATAGAATGGCTCCTATATGTAGATTTTCTTGCATTGAAGAAACACAGTTTGTTTAGGAAGCAAATTTAACCAGTTTATCAATAGCAAACTTTACAGATTTTGGAAAGGCACTTCATCTAATATATATAATATGAAAGTAAACCCTCTGGGTATAACAGGAAACAGCTGAGGAGCTACTTACGCAGGCTGCTTGGTGGTCACTGGTCGCGGTGTCTGTACCTTGATGGTGTCAGCAACCTGCCTCTCTGAGGGCCTTTTCTGTGGTAGGTCTCTCTGGAAAGGTTTGGTGCCAGGCTGAATACGCCTCAAAGCGCCTCGCTCACGAATGTACACCTGCTCGGGGGCCACCTCCTCACAGCGGGGCCCCTGGAAGCCTGAGCGGCACACACAGGTATGCGGTCGGCTGCAGGAGCCGCGGTTCTGACAGGGGGGCTGGCAGTCGGCTGGGGAGAAAGAGCAGAGAGGGGGATCAGGTTCTCAGCAACATACACTGTAACATATGGTCCCCTTGTATGAGGGAGCAGGAGAAATGACTTTTCCTGATCATAGCATAGGCGGTTCATATTGAATTGATTCAATAAAAGGGCCTCTTGTTTAATGCTTTCCATTTTGTAGGGAGCATGCTGAGGTTGTCTCCTTCAATCACTGCTGAGATTTTAACCAGCCTTGTTTAGTCTAAATGTATATGAGCACTTACATTAATTCTCCAGGAGGTAAAACAGTAAAACAAGCTTGTGGATTACTTTAGTGCTGCTGGCATTTTCACTCTGCCAGTTGTTGTTTTTTTCTGATCAAGAATTAAGCCCGTGCTTTCACTATAACGAGTGACAGCCTAAAAACAGGCCATAAAAACACAGATCATAAAATGGCACAAAAATTTATATCTGTTTGCTTAAGGCTGACTGAGAAAAGCCAACATGGCGCGGAGAGCTGTCTGTGCTTCATGAGGATCAGATACCTTCAGTTGGAAGGACATTAACTTATACGCTAATTTACTTTAACCTTGAGGCAGGTGTGGGGTTTTTTTGGGATAAAACTGTGCATTCGTCAACTACATTAATATGCATTTGCACTGTGGCCTGCAGAAAAAAAAAACAACAGCTTGAACTTTTTCTTATGTAAAAATTATATATAAAAACAAAGATGCATGTGCATTAATCCACCCTGAATTAATATTCTATAGGACCACCTTTGGCTGCAATTACTGTCCAATTACTGCTGCAAGTCTTTTGACATTTCAATAATTTTTGTATATCTAAACTAAAATGTTGGAACATTTTAGGTTTTTTGTTTTGTTTTTAAGATCTCTTCTTTTTTATTTTGATGTGAGTGTGTGTGTGTGTGTGTGTGAGTGTGTGTCCTTTCTAGCAGACTAGCACTGAAAAAAAGTTTTACTGGTGCCAAGAAGAAGACTAAAAGATTTACTTTGATGGGAGAATTATGGCTTTCTCTTAAAATGCTCCATTTGATATACATGTGTATGTAAAGACTTTTATTAGACATTATTTAGGGTCCAATGGCCATAGAGATAAAAAAAAAAAAAAAGTAAAAGAGAAAGAGAAAATAGAAAAGGAGAGGAGAGAGTTGCAAAAAAAGATTTGCTAAGTAGCTGTTGCTCAATCAGACTGGATTGGGAACATCTCCAACTAGTAAGTTCCAATTCTTACTAAATATTCTTGAGTGTATTTTAGGGTTGTGCGTTTGACTGAAACTTTCTAACACAGTAATAAGCCTTTTGTATTTCTAGCTTAAACAGTATTTTTTGGGTAGTTATTAGGCTAGAGGACAGCTGCCCCGGCTACATGGGATCTGAAGACTAACATGTTTCCTTCAAACATTTCCCTTTATAAATTCCATTAATTGTTCTCATCAACTCTTAGCAACATTTCTGTGTCTGGAGAAGCAAAGCATTCCCACAGCATGTTGCTGCCACTACCATGTTTCACAATAGGGGTGCTGATGCAGCAAATACTTCACCATTAAATGTCTCTCTGCGTGCTACTCTTTAATGAAGCTAACGTAGCAACAGACTCTACTGTATGATCTCAGCAGCTCCTCCAAAGTTACCATGGACATGCATCCCTGATATTTGCTCCTTTTAACCTAACCTGGCAGTTTAAATATAAGACCATGTCTTGGGCTGTTATATTTATTGTACTCTTTCTGTTGTCACATGATTGATTAAACAGTGCTCCATGTAATGTTTAAGTTACTAAATAATATTTTTTTATAAAGAACTCAAACAAAGCTAATGCATAATATATTATCAACTGTCTGAAATCAAAGACTGATTAAGTTACCTTACATTGAAATAAAGATACTCAGCATCTCTCCACAAGCCCCACTGAGAGCCGGCCTTTGCACTCCATTTACTTTAAATCAGGAAAGACACTGTGGCACCCTATTTAAAACAAGCAGGCTGACCTAGCGTCACCAATGAATGTAGCTTACAGCACTTGAGGATTTATGACACTGTCCTCAAACACTACATTAGGCCAGTGGTCTGCGGTGGCTAAAGCAAACAGCAGCGCTCTGTCAACAGCTATGGAATGCTATTGACACAGATGCTGTGAACAGTGACAGATCGCAGGCAGGAACGCTGCCACGGATCTAACTGGCAGCCAACAGGGATTGCACTGGTTGGAAACAGTACTTTATACCTGCTGCATACTTCCTGTTATTCCATTGCTTTACGGAATCTGGTCACATTGTTATGATATGACTCTTAAAATCAAAGGTCAAATATGTTTTCCATCCACGTTTGAATTAAACTCCCATTTACTGTAGATTATCCGACTATCACCAAATAATAGAATAAAATAAGCAAACTTGATTCATCCAATCATCTTATTTTCTTAAGTATTGCCTTTTTTTTGATGAATTGTAAACATTTAAATAGAGGGGTTGGGAATTGTACAACTCGATATGTGATCCAAATTTTCTGTTATGGGATAAAGTAGAGGTTGCATGTATTTTGCTTTGGAAAGAAGTCAAATACCACATAAAGCATGGGCTGACTAAATGCTGCTGAATTGTCCCAAGGTCTGCTCTAGATCAAGTTTTGGATGCAGCTCTGGATCAATAGGACACAGATTCCTTGGATATTATGTTGAAATGCGAGTGAAATGTGAGTGAAATGTGAGAGTTCGTCCAATAAAACTCTCCCAGCTACTATGAGAAACAATCAAGAGCTGATAAAAATGTTTTATGTTTAATAATGCATGTTTATCTTAGAGGTGCAGTATTGACAGGAGACAAATATGTTACCTTTACTGATAACAGCTGACAGGTCAGTGACTCTGGGCTTGACATATGGCCTCACATGCAGCATGCACTGCAGTGTCATACAGTGCCACTGCCTATCTGTGTTTGTCTCGGGAGTCCTGCCTCTGGGCTGTTGAACACATTGTCACAGTAATTGCTGTCGCGCAGATTTCTCTTGCACATCATTAAAACTAATTGCCTTGCATTCCATCCATTTCAGAAATATGTGCAGCAATTATTACTTTGAGAGAGTAATCATAAAATGAGAATCTGTCGGAAACGAAAGAGGAGAAATGGCAAACATTCCTGGCATTGCCACTTCAGCCTTAATTATGCCTGAGATAGATTGGCTTAGTTTTCTGGAGAGTGTGTCGACATCCATTTATCTGAAAAAAAAGGAAACTATAAGACTGTACATTTTAATTTTATACATAATGAAGCTATAATAAATTATTGATGAAAAACATAAACAAAAAACAAACCCAAAAAATAACAGCCTGATATTAAGCATGACCTCTCATTTTAATGGCACTGCTTGTGAGGGGTTGCAAATTGCACTGAAGAAAAACATCCCAGGGTGATGGTATAGTGTAGGCCATAGTGATGGCTGCTGCCATCACTATGGCCTACACTATATACAGTATGACAATTGTTTTAACGTAGATTGTTTTCAGATGCCACAAAGTACACTGATAATATGGGAAGTGGTGGCCCTGTGCTCAGATAGCAGGGCATAGTCCTAGTGAGGGCGTAACGTTTATGCTTCAAACTTCCGACTGTGACTGTGTCCCTGAGTAAGAACCATTTACCCTGCGATGCTCCCTAGTTGCTGCAAGCTGCTAGGTTTGCTACGTTGATTTTCCTTTTTTTAGCTTTAATTATTTTGTTTTGCATGACATCATAGGTTGTTGCAGGGTCGCTTCTGGCCTTACGCCCAATGCTGACCTTAAGTGAGCTTAAGAACATTTATGAATTAAACTACATTTGAAAACAACTGTAGAATTTAAGTGTGGCGTTTTATACATCTCAGTGAAATCATGTCAAATTTCACAAAAAGGGTTTCCTACAGTATTATCTAACAAAATGCTTTACAACATCTTTTTATTAAAATAAATGTAGAAGAAAAATCAATGAGAGAGTTAAGTAGCTCTGTTTTAAAGAAAATGGTTAAATAGGCAAAGAGATGGGTTGCACAGTGGAGCAGTGGGTAGCACTGGTGCCTTGCAGCAAGAAGGTTCTGGCTCTTCCGGCCTGGGTTCTTTCTGCATGGAGTTTGCATATTTTCCCTGAGCATGTGTAACTTCTCTCCAGGTACTCCGGCTTCCTCCCACAGTCTAAAAACATGACTGTGAGGTTAATTGGCTTCTCTAAATTCCCCTTAGGTGAGTGTGTGTTTGAATGGCTGTCTGTCCTGTTTGTCTCTGTGTTGCCCTGCGATGGACTGGCGACCTGTCCAGGGTGGACCCTGCCTCTCGCCCATTGACAGCTGGAGATAGACACCAGCACCCCTCGCGACCCCAGCAGGGATAGGCGTGACAGAAAATGGATGGTTTTTAAGGAGATACCTTAAGCATAATTTCCTCTCTGTGTGAATAAAACATACCCTTCAGCATCTGTGAAATTTTGGCTTCCACCCTTTACAACTTTTTGAATGGTCCTTTTTACGTTTAGATTTTTTACTGAAAGATTGAAATATTTTACAGAAGTTCTGGACATATTAAATGGCAATCACATTTTTGGAAGAAAAAAGCATTTATTAAGAGGCTCATGTCTACTTCATAAGTGATCCGTAAAAATGCTCACAGATGGTTATTAGGAATACCCACTAGTAGATTATGACGAACATAATCTAGCTAATGACATCATGCTAAACTGTATGCTTTTTTTAAATATGCAATATTAATTTCTGTTTCAATTAAGGAGTAATGTTTCTCTTTGGATAATAAATCAATGCCCATTTTTTTTTTTTTTTTTTTACATCTGGTCTGTTCTTACGCTTTGAGACAAATGTGCAGTGTTAAATTCAACATTATACATCCAGATATACAGGTGCTGGTCATAAAATTAGAATATCATGAAAAAGTAGATTGATTTCAGTAATTCCATTTAAAAAGTGAAACTTGTATATTATATTCATACATTACATACAAACTCATATATTTCAGATGTTTATTTTGTT